TTAGGACTGTTTCATGGCATCTCAGAGGTTTTGGTAAGATGTTTCTTTATTTTCATTTGTTTCCAGGAATATATATATATTTTTTAATTATAAAGATGTGGGGTACAATTCAGGGTTAGGTGTACATTGATTATGAAGGTGCCCTTGTTAGATTTCCAGGAATCTTTCAATTTCTGCTCTAATTTCAGTGTTGACCCAGTAGTTGTTCAGCATCATGCTGTTTAGTGTCCATGTCTTTGGGGCTATGGGGAAATTTTGTTAGTGTTGATATTTATTTTTATTCCACTGTGGTCTGAGAAGGTGCATGGCAGTATTTCAGTCTTACGGAATTTGTTTATGCTTGATTTATGTCCAAGGATGTGATTGATCTTGGAGTATGTTCCATGTGGTGATGAGTAATGTATATTCTGTGGTTGTTGGGTGGAATAATCTGTAGGTATCTTTTAAGTCCATTTGGTCGAGTGTCAAGTTTAAGTTCTGGACCTCCTTGTTAATTTTTTACCTCGATGATCTATCTAGGGTTGTCAGAAGGGTAATCAAGTCCTCTGCTATAATAATGTTAGAGTCAGTATTTTTTTTTAGTTTATTTAGTAGTTGCTTTATAAATGCTGGTGCTCCTGTGTTGGGTACATATATGTTTAGGATGGATATTTCATGTTGATGGATTGAACCTTTTATCATTATGTAGTGTCCTTTTGTATATTTTTAAATTTTTGATAGCTTAAAGGTAGTTTTGTCTGATCATGACTCCTGCCTTCTTTTTTGATTCATTTACCTGGAAACTCGTTTTCCATCCTTGAACTTTGAGTCTGTGTGTGTCCTTTGTGGTGAGATGAGTTTCCTGGAAGCAGCAAATAATTGGGTCATGGTTTCTTATCCAGTTTGCTATTCTGTGTCTTTTCAGTGGTGCATTTAGTCCATTCACATTCAGGTTGATTATTGAAATGTGATTGTTTATCCCACTCTGTACTTCAATTGCACTCTACCTTTGCAAAACTTTGTTGCACTTGATTCTTTACAAGTCAATCTTACAGACTTTGCTCCTGATCGTAATAGAGGAACTTATATCAGACTTGCTCTACTGCCATAAAAAACTGGAAACTGGACAAAATAAATTAGACAACTGTTTCAGGCATTGGGCCACAGGCAGCACATGACCATCATCCCTGAGAGAAGGCAAATTTTAGGTCTGTGATTGCCGCAGCTTTCTGCTTGGAGACACTATTTGGACTGCAGCACCGGGAGTAGGCCCAAGCAGCACATAGTGGCCATGCTAAGCTGCAGAGATAAGACTACGAGAAGGCTGAAACAACTGGGAGTACAGGGCAAAGAGAGGGGCTCCTCCTGAGAAGAGTTCCTGGGGTCTCCTTGGGTGTTCTGGACTCCAAGCCACGCGTGTAGGATAAAACTATGAAGCCAGGCAAAGAACAACTTCTGGGTAGCAGTAAACTTGCCCACAGATTAGCAGTGACAAATAGTAAATATTATAGAAACTAGACATGACCAGGTGCAGTGGCTCAAGCCTGTCATCCCAGGACTTTGGGAGGCGGAGGTGAGAGGATTGTCTGAGCTCAGGGGTTCGAGACCAGCCTGAGAAGCATGGTGAGTCCTTATCTCTACAATAAATCAAAAATTAGCCGAAGTCAGGCTTGGTGGCTCAGCCTGTAATCCCGCGCCTTTGGGAGGCTGAGGTGAGTGGATTGTCTGAGCCTGCGGGTTCGAGACCTGCCTGAGCAACTTAGCGAGACCTCATCTCTACAATAAATCAAAAATTAGCCAGGCATGGTAGTGCACGCCTGTAGTTCCAGCTACTTGGAAGGCTGAGGCAGGAAGGATCGCCGGAGCCCAGCAGGTCGAGGCTGCGGTGGCCGCGAGCAGCCACTGCACACCAGTCTGGGCGCCAGAGTGAGACTCCAACTAAAAAAAAAAAAATTAGCCAAACACGTCAGCACGCACCTGTAGTTCCAGCTACTTGGAAGGCTGGGGCAGAAGGATCGCCTGAGCCTAGCAGGTCAAGGCTGTGGTGGCCGTGAGCAGCATGCAACTGCACTCAACTCCCTGGGCGATAGAGTGAGACTCTGACTCAAATAAATAAATAAATAAATAAAAGCTAGGCATACTCAGCATAAAACATTTGGAAAATGCAGGATAGTCTAGAGAAATAATATTGAAATATTTAGTTCTATTAACTACTGCTATTAGTTTTTATAACCTGTTTTCTTCCAACGTGGTTGAATTGAATATATGTACCTATGAGATAATACAACTCTTAATATTTGTAACATTAAATAGAGTTCATCCTATTCAAAGAATATTTCTCACACAATTTTTTAAAAATTTTCTAAAGCAGATCTTTTATTTATCTGTAACCAAATCCATGTTTAATGTTCAGTACAATTATACTTTTATTGCAATAAAGAATTTTTGAAATTGAAAAAAGATGGCGAGCATATGATTTATACAATGTATGATTGTGTCACACTGCATATGATGAATATTTGCCAAATTTGTTGTAATTTACATATTTTGCCTTCCCATTATAAGAGCAAGTATATACTTAAATCTCTGAAAAAGATAATATTAGTTACTGTAATAATAAATGGTGGTAGTGGTATAGCTGATCACTTTGGGAGGCTGAGGTGAGTGGATTGCCTGAGCCCACGGATTCAAGACTAGCCTGGGCAACTTGGCAAGACCTCATCTCTACAATAAATCAAAAATTAGCCGGGCATGTCAGCACGCACCTGTAGTTCTGGCTACTTGGAAGGCTGAGGCGGAAGGATCACTGGAGCCCAGCAAGTCGATGCTGGGGTGGCCGTGAGTGTGCCACTGCACTCCAGCCTGGGCGATGGAGTAAGACTCCAACTCAAAAAGCAATAAAAATAAATAAATAAAACTATTGCTCTATGTGTTATAAACTAGCAGGGACAGTGTAAGTTCAAGATCATACCCCTGTACTTTCCAAGCTGGATCCTGTAAAATAAAGACACAACTAGGGAGGCTAGCCTTCTTTAGGCAGGAGCCTTTTCTAATGCCATCATAGCAAAAGCATTCAGGAACTAGCATTTTCTGAGTCATCAGAGCTCATAGTGGTTCCATACAAAGATTGAGGGCCCCAAAGATATTTTTTGAGAGCTACATACTGGAATAGTATGAATATTGTTAACAACTTCTTTATAGAGACTGAAATACTGTGGTTAAAATTAGACTGGTACCAGCCGGGCTCGGTGCCTCAGCCTGTAATCCCGCACTTTGGGAGGCTGAGGTGAGTGGATAGCCTGAGCCCATGAGTTCGAGACTCGCCTGGGCAACTTGGCAAGACCTCATCTCTACAATAAATCAAAAAAATTAGCTGGGTGTGGTAGCGTGTGCCTGTAGTTCCAGCTACTTGGAAGGCTGAGGCGGAAGGATCACCGGAGCCCAGCAGGTCGAGGCTGCAGTGGCCGGGAGTAGCCACTACACTCCAGTCTGGGTGACAGAGTGAGACTCCAACTCAGAAAAAAAAAATTGTCTGGTACCTTCTAAGACTTCTGAACATACATATCAGAGACTGCTCTATGTGTTAAATCTACTCCTTAAGAACCCGACTCAACTTTATTTTTGTAGCTCTCTGTCAGCCATGTGCTCTCAAGTTTTGACATTGCATCTTTCTCATAGTTATTGGTTTGGAGGGTTAGGTATTATTTTTGCTCTTGTTGGCAAGCAGGAAACTTTTTGCATTGGATATCTCTGTCTCATCACTAGCTTGAGGTGTTCATAGCATAAGTGTTAGGAGACTGTTTGGAGTTAGAAAGATCTAGGTTCAAACATTATGAACTTAGAGTAACTTGGATGGATTTAGAGTCTATAATACCCAGGGATTTATCACAGAAACAAAGAACTGTGTATCACCTGTACTCACTCATAAGCGGACCCTGAACATTTACCATAATACTGTAAGAAAGGGATTGGCAGAAAAGGAAACTGCCAGGGGAAGGGTGTGGCACATAATATTAATAAGGGTACCCGATCTCAAACCAGGCAAAGTGGGGGCCAAAAGGAGGCCCAGACTACCTGTACAATGACCACTTATATACCTAATCCTGAATCCAAATCTTTAAAATAAAATAAATTTCAAAAAAGAACTAGGTTCAGATGCCACCTCTGTCACAAGACACAGGACTTTGAACATGTTAGCTATGTTTTCTATCTCTTTAAACGTTTTACCTGGTAATAATAGCACTTCTGTGTCGTTGCAATGTGTTGGTCTCTGTTTTAAGCACTTTGCCTCCGTCACCTCCTTTAAACCTCACAGCAGCCTGTGAGGTAGGTTCTATTCTCCCTCTTTTGTAGATGAGGTGACTCCCCCAACATACCTGGTAAATAGGAGAGCTAGAATTTTACTTCTGGTGTTCTGTCAGTGTTCTTCTTATTCTGATGTCCTGTCCATTGTTCTTATTATCACTCATAAAACGGAGATAAGTATAACTTTCCCAGGATTGATACAGGGATTGAGTCATAAAATTTGCAAACAGTGCTTAGCACATGATAACCACTCAATAAATGTATTTGTATGTAGTAATAAGTTTTCTTTCCTGCATTCTCTTCCACAGTTTTCTGCTTTGGATTCTTGATAACAGGAGTGTTTTCTTTCAGTCTTTTTGCTATAGTGCTTCTAAAGATCATTGTTTCTGAGAACCACCGTCTTCTGAAGTAGATTTTGGGAACAGATCAGAACATACCTTAACTGCTATAGTCAAACAGAAAGGATGGGCTTTTTGCAGCCTTGTGGGGGAGACAAACTTGCATATTTCCTGGATGGGTGTTACAGGGCTTCTAGACCTGTCCCCACAGATAGAAGAGAATATGTGGGGCAAACGGATGAATGCATGATCCTGTGATGTGGTACCTTTTCCTTTCCTGAAACCCGGCAGATTGTCTTGGCTGTAAAACCAGACACACTAGAATCAGCATCTTCTATTAGTGAAAGAATACTGAATCCATCTTTTTGTTTCTTGTAGCTGTTCTAAAGAGATCCAAATGGCAGTTCTGCTGAAATTTGTTTCAGAAGGGGACAATATCCCAGATGCATTGGGTCTTGTTGAGTATCTTAATGAATGGCTTCAAATAATCAAACCACATGTAAGTGTTACTACAGCTTAAGCCTCTTATTTGTCTGCTTATGTATTCATTAACTTGCATTTTATATGCTATGTAAATAGGCCAAATAAGTGAACGTCATGTTAAATATGGACATATCTTTACCTAAAATTTCGTTTAAGCTGAACTTTTGAAATAAGAGAGAGGACAGTTACCCAACCTGTTGTTTATATTGCTTCATTAAAGCTGATTTTCCAAAAAGGGAAATCCTGTTTTTTATTGTTCATGTTACGTGAATTGTGCCAGACTGACTCTTATAAGGATAAACAGGTCTTCCTTTGGAATTCAGGGAATTGTAGGGAAACAAAAAGTGTTGCTGTGTGAGCAATGCTATACCTAGTGGATTTGTATCATAATTAAGGCACTTTTCTAGATTATGAAATGAGAGCATTATACTCAGAAAGACGAGTTTGCCTTTTGGCATAACAGAGGCACTGTAGGACTACTTTATGTAGGGGGTAACCGTCTTTTACTTCATGCCTTTACCAAGAAAAAAACTGATACAAATCACATGACGCTGAGTCTTTTTCAACCCCCTATTCCTTTTCATTTTATTTTACCTGTAGCTTTTCTGGCATATCTTTATGATTTACAACTTGAAGAAATTTGTCTACGGTTGACATAAAGACATAGAAACTTACTACTTTATTTTTCCTCACAGTGAAACTTGACTAAAAGTGTCAGAGCCAACAGGAGAGTTTTATAATACATGTTATGGAGATTTGATGGTGAAGTTCAGAGATTAAAATATTTGTTCTTCAATTACAGAGTGAGGACCCCACAGTACCTTCCTTGCGGTGGAAAATGCCAAGTTCTTGGAGATTACTTTTTGGCAGTGGTCTTCCCCCTGCACTTTTTTGACCTGTTTTCAGTTTTATACCTTAGGCCTCAAGACACTTAGAACCAACACAGCTGTTATGTATTCTGTTCAAAAATTGGTATTATCTGAGATTGTATTAGGAAACAGGTAATTATTTTTAGAAAGTCTTAAAAAGAGGTTAACATTAACAAAAGGTCTTTTTGCCACACTTCATCATATACAACAGATGTAAATTTTGTACAATAAAATTTTATTTCCTACTTGATTTTGTGTTAAGTGTATTTTTAAAACTGAGACTCTGTATTAGCTTCCTATTTCTGCTGTAATAAATTACCACAAACTTAGCAACCTAAAATGGCACAAATTTATTTTTACTTACAGGTCTGGAAGTCAGAAGTCCAAAAAAGGGTCTTATGAGGTAAAGTCAAGGTGATGCTGGGCTGTGTTCCTTCTGTAAGTTTGAGGTGGAGAATTTGTTTCCTGCCATTTCCAGCTTCTAAAGGCTGTCCATTCTCGGGCTCATGGCCCTTCTTCCATCTTCAGGGCCAGCAGCTCAGCGTCTTCAGATCTGTCTCTTCACTTGTAAGGACATTTGTGATTACATCGGGCCCACCCCAGTAATCCACGATCATTTTCTCATCTCAGAAGTAGTTTAGTATAAAAGAAATAAAAGTACTTTTCATTTTTTGAGGGCCTGTTACATACTGGTCACTATTTACACACAATCTTACATGTCTACAATTTAGCTGTCACCTCTGTGCCTTAGCTTTCTCATCTATAAAACAAGGGTTTATAATATTTAAGGGTACATACCGTACTTAACAGCACTTATTAAATGTTTCCTTTTGCTATGTAGGTCACTTTGGATTCTGTGGCCTGTTTCTGTTTCCTTTATGGTTAAAATATCAGGTGGGGGTTGACATCAGCAAGATGACAGAAGAGGAAGCACTCACTAGACCTCATTACCCTGGAGTTACCCGCTGAATAGTTTGTAGGCCCAGGTGCTGGCTATCAGGCAGTTGCAGTACCCTAGATGAGTGCAAAACCGCAAACAGCAGCATTGAAATGGGTAAGAAGAGTCATTTCACTTTACCCTGGATGACAGAGCTCAGCGTGATTGCGAGAGAACATCAGCTCCTGGCTTCTCCCTGGAGTGGGGTAAGAGGGTAGAGACTTGTTGAACGTGTGTTCAAAACTCTGGCTTTTCAGAGGGCTGCCTGGCAGACTGGTTTTTGTCTGGTCTGGCTTGGAACACCAATAAAACTAGTATGGTTTGGATGCTTGGGGTCCACGGAAAGCAAGAGAGTGGGGATAGCTTGCTGTGGCATCAGAGGCCAGCCGTAGCAAGGTGTGTCTGGGCAGGGGAAGGAGAAACTACCCAATTTGCATCTTCTCTCAGGAGGAGAGAAGAGGGTAGTGTGAGTCCAGCATTCTGGCTTTTCAGAGTGCTGTCCAAGGGCTGCCACCTGTTTCACCTAAGTTGGGGAAACACATGCTTTTGGATGTCTGGGAGCCACTGAGAACAAAGGGCCTACTTGTCTCTGCAACACCAAATAACTTGCAATACTGAAGACAGGCACCAGAGGGAGCAAGAGATTTAAAACTGAAAAGCATGCAAAACTATCACGGAAATTAAACAAGCCAGAAAAGTACGATCTATCTCTTTTTTTGAGTTGGAGTCTTACTCTTCTTGCCCAGGCTGGAGTGCAATGGCACACTCACAGCCACTGCAACCTCGACCTGCTGGGCTTAGGCGATCCTTCCACCTCAGCCTTCCAAGTAACGAACTACAGACTCTGGCCACCATACCCGGCTAGTTTCTATGATTTATTGTAGAGATGAAGTCTCACCAAGTTGCCCAGGCTGGTCTCAAATCCCCAGGCTCAGGCAGTCCTCTCACCTCGGCCTCCCAAGGTGCTGGGATAACAGGCTAAGCCACTGAACCCAACATCTATCTCAAAAAACAGGATGAGCGCAGTGGTTTACACCTTCAATCCCAGCACTTTGGGAGACCAAGGAGGGAGAATTGCTTGAGACCAGGAGTTCAAGACCAGATTGGACAACATAATGAGACCACATCTCTACAAAAAAATTTTTTTTAATTAGCCAGGTGTGGTGGCGGCATGCCTGTGGTCCCAGCTACTTGGGAGGCTAGGGTGGAAGGATCACCTGAGCCAACAAGATCAAAACTGCAGTGACCCATGATTGTACCACTGCAATCTAGCCTAGGTAACAGAGTGAGACCCTGTCTCAAAAAGAATTTTTTTAATCACAAGGTATATGAAGAAACAGAAACATGGCCCAATCAACAAAACAAATCTCCAGAAAACAACCGTCAAGAAACGGCTATAAATTTCCTGACAAATAATACCAAAAAATTGTCCTAAACTCAATGCTCTACAAGGGAACAGAGATAAACAACTAAAATCAGAAGAAACTATGAATGAAATGAGAATATCACCAAAGAGAAACGAACTACAGAAAAGAACCAAATAGGCCGGGTGGCCAAGCCTGTAATCCCAGCACTTTGAGAGGCAGAGGCGAGAGGATTGCCTGAGCTCAGGGGTTCAATACCAGCCTGAGCAACATGGCGAGACCACATCCCTAGAGTAAATCAAAAAATAGCTGGGTGTGGTAGCGTGTGCTTGTAGTTTCAGTTACATGGAAGGCTGAGGCAGAAGGATCACCTAAGCCCAGCAGGTCGAGGGTGAGGTGGCCATGAGTGTGCCACTGCACTCCAGCCTGGGCAACAGAGTGAGACTCAGATCAAAAAAAAAAGGGGGGAAAAACCCAAATTTTGGAACTGAAGGATATAATAGTTGATTTGAAATGTTCACTCGAGGGGTTCAATAGCAGACTTGGTCAAGCAAGACTTGAAGACAGGTCATTTGAAATTGTTGAGTCAAAACAGCAAGAACGACAAAAAAGAATGAAAAATGAAGGAAGCCTGAGGGATGAATGGGGCACCATAAAGTGAAACATTATGTGCACTGTGGTAGTTCTAGAAAGAGATGAGCAAGAGGAAAAGAGCTCATTTAAGGAAATAATGGCAAACACTTCCCAAATCTGAGGAAGAAAATAGGTATCATATTTGAGAAGCTCAAAGACTCAGAATACAATGACCCTAGGAGGCCCACACCAGGATACATTATAATTTAACTGCTGAAAGTGCAAGACAGAGAAATGGTTGGGTGTGGTGGCTCATGCCTGTAATCCCAGCACTTTAGGAGTCTGAGGTTTGAGACTTGGGCCCAGGACTTTGAGACTACCATGTGCAATCTCATCTCTACAAAAAAATTTTTTAAAAATTAGCTGGGTGTGGTGGTATGCACCGGTAGTCCCAGGAACTCAGGAAACTGATGCAGGAGGATCTATTGAGCCCAAAAGTTGGAGGCTGCAGCGAGCCGTGATTGTGCCACTGCACTCCAGCCTGGGCAACAGAATGAGACCGTAACTGCAAAAAAAGAAAGAAAAGAAAAAAAAGTTGGGCTCTGTGGCTCAGCCTGTGATCCCGCGCCTTTGGGAGACTGAGATGAGTGGATTGCCTGAGCCCGCGGGTTTGAGACCCACCTGGGCAACTTGGCAAGACCTCATCTCTACAATAAATCAAAAAAATTAGCCGGGCGTGGTAGCGTGCACCTGTAGTTCCAGTTACTCTGAAGGCTGAGGCGGAAGGATCGCCGGAGCCCAGCAGCTCGAGGCTGCGGTGGCCGGGAGCGGCCACTGCACTCCAGTCTGGGTGACGGAGTGAGACTCCAACTCAAAAAAAGAAAAAAGAAACTTGAAAGCAATAAAAGAAAAGTGACTCTTGTCACATATGAGGGAGCTCCTATAAATGATCAGATTTCTCAGCAGAAGCCTTAAGCCAAAGGGAGTGGGACAGTATATTTGAAGAGCTGAAAGAGAAAAGCTGCCATCCAAGAGTGCCATTCAGCAAAATTGTTCTTCAAAATGGAAAGAAATAAAGGCTTTCCCAGATAAACAAAAGTTGAAGGCGTTCATCACCCCTTATCAATGTGTTACGAGAAACACTAAAGGGAGTCCAGCAAGTTGATATGAAAGGACACTTGAGGGCAGCATGAAAGCATATGAAGACATAAAATTCATTAAGAAAAAGTAAATGCAGATACAGACTCTGTTAACACTCTAGTGGTGGTGCATCAAGCACTTGTAATTCCAGTACAGAAATTAAAAGACAAGAGCATAAAAATACCTGTAATTATAAAAATGTGTTAAAATGTCTCAGTGGATACACACTATATATAAAGGTGTGATTTTTCTTTTTTTAATTTTTTTTTTTTTTTTTGAGTTGGAGTCTCACTCTGTCGCCCAGACTGG